TCCTAAAAGCATTTCTTTCGGTGTTTAAAAAGAGGCACGGTGCAAGAGTTAGCCTGGTCATCAAGAGAGGTGACTTCTACAGGGCTAAACGAGGAGCACATGACGAGCAATCGAAGCGCTGAACCGAATTCAGCTCGAGAAGATAGATTTGTATCGCAGTCATAGGAGGCTCTGTGTGAGTCCGGTAACCCTGTCTACGAGGATTGCTCGAGAGTACGTAGACTTTTATTCCCGGAAAGACCCTGGCTGAACATTCTGCAGATCGTGGCGTGCGGTACGAGATTGATATCGTGCCAGGGTCAAAGTACTGTGTGATTGCAGACCGTTGCCTCGAGACCGGGTCGAGGCCATCATTGCATTTTTTAAGTGTCGTCGTACGGACGGGCTACGTGCGTGAGTATCTCATCACACTCGAGCCCGAACTTCTCTGTGAAAACGAATACGAGAGGATGGCTGATATTGCATGCGTTTGTTAAGCTATACCTGATGCCACTATCCTCGCGCAAACGCCCATCACCCAGAATAGACATAGTTTCTTACTACATGTCGGGGAAGCGCGTCATTTTTAGCGCCATCAATTTGACCAATGCCTTCTACCAGATCTTGATGCGGCAGAGTTACATACCACTCACTGTGAGTGAGCACTCCGAAGTGGTATGCTATGGAAGTGGCTGGGTGATACCACTAGGATTGAAGAACGCACCAGCCACTTTCAATTGCATGGTGTCTCAAGTGTTGAGACCGCTTCGTGACTTTGATCCTAGCTACTTCGATCACATTAGCGTTCAAAGTTGCGCGAGGGTAACCTCGGCACCGTACAAGTCCACCGTCAACACCTGAAGCAGGTGATCAGAGTCATGCGGTAAAACAAGTTATGTGCAAACTTAAAAAATTGTGTATTCTATTGCAGCAAAGACTTCGGTGCTGGGTTGCTACGTGAGTAAATCGAAAAGTTTGAGCCAATCCAGAGAAGGTGCCGTCTACCTGTTCTTTGGTCCACACTCAAGAATTTTAAGGAGCTGCGTCAATGGCTCGACCTACCTAATCATTCACATGCGTATACAAAGGATTATGCTGGTTCTCTACGGCCTCTGTTCGTCACTGTTAACGAAAGACGCCACTTTGTCGTGGTGTCCCGAGCATCCTTCGGCGCAGTGAAGAAGAGTCTGGCGTCAGCGCCGGTACTAGTACTCCAGGACGACACCAAGCCGTTTCACGTCAGGATGTGATACAAGTGACCTTGCAATTGATTGCGCCCTCATGCGGTTTGATCATGAGGGCCGTGCAAGAGTCGTGAGTTACCAATCACGACAGATGAAACCGGCGGGAGAAGAACTATCCAGTCCTCGAAAAGAACCTAATGGCTAAGCGCTACGCAATCATCAAGTATCAAGTGCATCTTCTAGGCAAACGCACTCCCGCCCTGTCTACTGATCATGCATCGCTGCGCACAGCGATAAAGAGCCCATACATGTCTTAGCGAATGGCACGATGGCTCTTTTTCTTCTCCGAGTACAACTTCGTCGTGCACTACAAGCCAGGAAAGACTGACATTCTTGCTGACGCGCTGTCTTGGCGCCCGGATTACGACCCTCCGGATGGCACTGAGTCATCAGGCTACTGACGACGAAGATGAGGACGATCGATGTGCGACGTGTGTGTCGTTGAAATAAACACGAATCACAACCGAGTTATGCCTTTCCGATGAAACCGTTGCGGCTTACACGAACGATCCAGATAACGCGGACATTATTGCCTATCTGCCTGTTCCCAGTGATGATGCATGGGGGGCTCTTTCACGAGCGAAGCGTGATAACATCCAGCGATACAGTATGGATGGTGATTTGCTGTTATACAGCATCGATTCAATGCTCCTCGGACGGTAATCGCGAACGACTTGGATCTGCGTGCTTGCATCATCCACGAGTACTATAATGCCCCCAGCTGGCGGTCATTTGGGCCGCGAAAAAAAGATTTTTTGCGGCTGTGTCGCGTGACTTTTTGGGCCCCACAAGTTCTATTCGGTTCGGAACTGGATTCGCACATGCCAAATTTGTCAAAGAGTGAAGCCATCTCCATCTTTGCAGGCCCCCCTGCGACCCTTACAAATTGCAGCTGAGGCTTGACGCTCGGTTTCGATGGACTTTATCTTCGGGTAAGCACCCGACAATCGAAAACCCGAAACTGTATCCTGGTCTTTGTGGTAAAATTTAGCAAGGTGACAGACTTGGTGCCTGTTCATGCAACAATCACTGCGGCTGAGACCGCGGTGCGTTTAAACTGACACAGTATTTCGCCATCACGGTTTACCAGACGGCATTGTCTCGGACCGTGATTCTCGCTTCACATCTGCGTTCTAGACTTCTTTTTGTTTGAGCTCCTTGACAAGAAGTGGCATGTGTCAGCGGCAGCCCGTCTGGAAACGGACGAGCAAACAGAGCGGATAAAATGGGTCCTCGAAGATGTTCTTTAAAGATATGCTACTTCCTTTACACGTTGGAGTGCATTCTGTCCACTCACTGAGTTTTCGCTCAAATACACTGTTCACGCATCAACAGGGCTAACGCCATTCTTTGCGAATTTAGCCCGTCACCCTCGAGAGTTCCTGATCTTCTTGCCGTAAGTCATCCCACGGCTCTTTGTGGCTTTACTCTGAAGGGGGGTGAAACTGACAATTAACGATCGAGTGCAGCTCACGGTATTCTAAGCGCTAATGAAGTCAACCATTCCAAGTCGAAGTCCGCTGTTATGACGCCACGAGACGTGGTGTCCCCGCTATTTCGATGGACTACGGAAACATTGATTGACCTTTTTTCGGGTTTGCGCTCACCTGAAGCCAACTACGCACCAATGGAGTCGGCGCGACCGATTGGATGACATGTCCGTGTCGGTGTTCATACTTCAACGTCAAGCGATAACTAGGTTTGTGCGAGATACTCTTCGTTCTGCAGTAAATAAGCAGAAAGAAGAAGCAGACAAACGTGGACGAAAGAACATGAGTACATTCAAGAAAGGTGACCTTGTGTTGCTATCTACTGAAGGTCTACGCGATTCTGCAGTTACCAATTAGGCACAAGTAAGCTCGCGCCACGATTTATTGGTCCATTCAAGGTGCTCAAGGCGATCGGCGACGTCTACACGCTGGTTTTTTTCGAAGTTGCGTGTACACCCGACTCTCTACGTCGGGCGACTAAAGAATAATAGTCCGGCTACGTTTCACGAGTTTCTTTCGACCCCGGAGGCAAAGGCTCAAACGTTGATCTTCCCTCCCGATTTGTTCAACGCGCCAAGAAAATCGGACGCGGCTGCGTTCCAGTATGCGCGTGCCCAAGAGCCTGGCATTCCAGGTTCCGCATCCGTTCAAGCAGCTCGCGGTTCGACTGTCGAATATAGCTCGCTGTTCTCTCAGCCCGTGCAGCACACTCACTGGCAGTTTCAGCTTCCAGCTGGGCATAAACAGCCTTGTTTTACCGCCGCATCTACATCGTCCTGGGCAACTAGGACGCCAGCATTACCATCGCGAGGACCCAGCACCGCTTGTGGACGCGGAAGGTCAGAAGCGCTGGATAGCAGAACGTTTATTGGGTCACGAGGACCCTCGTCTCGAAACGACATCGTCGGAACTTAATGCGCGCGCAAGTATCGTGTACATTGGCTCGGGTTTCCACCCGAGCAGGATGCGTGGTACCGCGCTCTTTGCTTCTTCGAGACGTTCCAGACGTCGTTCGGGCATACGAGTCCGTGCATACGCTTGGTTTAGTTTTGTTCGACGACCTGAGTGTTCTCGCGGTGAGCGTGCATATGCTTACTTAAAATTTGTTCGACGATCTGAGTGTTCTCGCGGTGAGCGGGGAGCGAGACGTACGACAACTGTGTCGTGGTAAAGCGTCACCACGACTACGAGACCAAGAGAGATTGCAAGAACGTCGCGATAAAACGTCACCACGACTGACGAGATGTAGAGCGACAACGAGGAACGTCGTGGTGAAAGTGTATTTCCACGACCACGAAAACGAGAACGTCGTGGCGAGCGCGTGGCATCACGTCCCCGAGAGAGCAATTGGTGTCGCCAGCTTGACGCACCATGATTAATCGCGATCTTACGCTCTATCACGATGCGCTCAGACCGTCGGATCCATCACGTGGTCTATCGAGCTCCCGCTGACAGTGCGCGGGAGTGATGTGGTGTTGGCGTTTGCGTCTTCAGTCATCGTTTGGCTTGTGCGTCCGTTGGATCTTGTAGTTGAGCACTCACGGTTCGTGAGTGCTGTCTTTAGAAGGGGGTGGTGTAATGGGCCACCCCATTACATAAGTAGTTTTGATTAAGTTTACATGTTACCTAAGTAGGGTTGCTACCTCTCGAGGTAGCGGAAGTAGCACGTCGTATATTTTAGCTGGTGTAATGGGCTCAGTCCCATTATTAGCCAGAAAAGTATAGACACGTAGATTAAGTAATTCCCATGAGTCCAAGAGAATCATTCGTACTTGGGATGATTAAAAGACAATTGATGAAAACAGAGTTAAAAGTACCTAAAACCCAAGACTTGGGCTTTGAGGGCTTCCTCAAAGCGTTATCAATAGAGTAAGCTAAGTACGGGTTGTTCTAGCCCCTTTACACGTCTTAAAACAACACATCCAACCCTTTACGCTATCCCTCGCTAAACCCACTGCAGCAAAAGTCATATACTCAACAAGCCACGATGTCTCTTTGCGCTTTTGAAATGTAGAATCAGGAAAAGAGCTAACGTCATGAACGCGAGCCAGATATAGATTGACTTTAAGCAGTGATGATGCTCTCTAGCCACGGCAAATCGCAAAATCTACACTAAGTGTTTTATTCAAGACCAGTTTACATGGTGACATACGGGCAACTAAATCCAGTAAAAAACGACTTTGCATTCTTCTCACCTCTGAACTTCTATATATAGCATAATACGGAAATGCTTTGATTTTTTAGCTACTTCTCAGTTCTCCGATACATGTATGTATGAACAGGTTTGCATTACGGGAGTACGGATTTGGAACGGGGCAAGCTTGTTGCATTCAATCTACACGCAAAAATATCTATTTAGAACATCACTGTGAAAGTTGTTAATGTTCATAAATATCACCATAAGCGATGCATTCAGAAGCACTTACCTATTGACTGATATGGGTCATCATATCAGTCAGCTCCTAACTGTCCAATTCGTGATTGCGCAATGAGTGGTGAGAAAAAGCTGTGCATACATTTTATCAGGTAAATATAATCAAGTTAGGATCTGATGCATAGGATAATGACTAGGACGTTATTACAATCGACTGAGTTTTACTTTCTACTTCTACAGACCGCGTCGTTTAATTCTAGCCTTTCTCTGCACGTACGGTGTACGCGAAGTGAAATGCGGCACTTCTTCCACTGCTTCGGTCTAAATTGAATGGAGCTGCGTTAGTACGAGTCGCCAGTGTCTGATGCTCCTGGTCGCACTGGGTAGTCCGTCCAAGGACCTAAAACCCTGCATGCAACATGAACAGGTTGGATGATGATAGTGACAACATTCATACCACGCGTGAAAGCTACTACTGTCTAAGTAACATCGAATGGAGTGTGGTATAACGGCTGGATTGGAACGTCGGCGAACACACCGCCTATGACATTCTACACACTGATTATAGACGATCACAATGCTGCCACCGAAGTTCATACAACATGAACTTGACGAGTCACGGGAGAAAGAAACCTTGCTGTACCAGCAATGTTCTCAACAGACAGAGCTGTTAAGAAACCAGGGTGATCAACAATAAAATTGCGGAGACAACAGCAGGCGTAAACTGCTCTACCCGGTTCGACGCACGCACGTCGACCCGAAATATTAAGGGTTGACATCCCTCAGTACAGAGGAGTCGAGCAAGACTCCCTGCTAAGATGATTCGTCGATTCAGATGACGCCATTCCTTTTTTGTCACATCGCTTGTGAGCATATGCGTCTTGCATTTCCTCAGTAAAAATTTGCTGGGCGTGCCAAAACATGGGTGCTAGGTCTGAAGTTGCACGACTAATTCGTGATGGGTCATTGAATGTCTCTATGGCCCGTATTATGAAACGTACGAGCTACCACAGGGTGAGTTCAGGGCTCGATTGAAGCTCCTGAAACTTAAGGAGGGGTAGCGATATGTGTACGCTCACGCCCAACAAATGTAACTCCCTGCGAGCTGTACTGGCCAACCCAGTTTTTGCGCACACGTTGATTACGGTGTTCAAGCAGGGTGTTGCGAATGTTCTCGTCAAAAACCACCTATTCGGCTTGGAACTGGATATTCTAGAAGATGCGACATCAGTTGCAGAATAGAAAGACTACAGACTGAAACAGGATCATGCTAGTTTGGGTTCATATCATCCCCCAAGACAAAAAAATGTCGGAGGTTTAGAACTTGTGTACCTATGTTACGTAGTTAAACGAATACAAAAAATGCAATCGCTGTCAGAAAGTATGAATCTATGATCACGAGTGTAGTTCTATACGCTCAGTGAATCGAAATACTGAGCCAGCCAATCGACCGTCCGCCTATAAAGGTGACGTAAAAATAGTTCCAGCGTTGTTGCGAAATCATAAAAGTGGAATGGACCATAAGAAACAGGGGAGGGTACTAGGGGGCGGAGCGCCCTACTGATTGAACAACCTCAAGATAATTTATGAATTTCTTGACTAAAATGGCTCCAGGCTTACAATCACTGTGTACACCTGCACTTGATGATGAGGTACGCCTCATCAACTTGAAGTTGGTAGGGACAGCATTTTTGTCACTTGATGCCCTTGTAGACTGTGGGGCGTCGAGCAACTTTGTTCGTCGCCAGTTTCTAGAGTATCGTAGGTTTAATTTTGCTAAGCTCGATACCCCTTCGACGAGAATGACGGTGCGCCTAGCAACAGGCGCATCAATAACATTGATAAAACGTGTAATGGGACTTTCAGTCATCTTGGATCAGAAGATGCGAGCCAAGGGTAGGCCGGTAGCATTGAATTGTGAAGATGCCTGCTGCTTGTTTATTAGATGGCCATCTGATGAACGTCTTGGAGATTTTACAAGCGTGAATTACTGCGAGTGAGTGCGATTGCCTACTTGTGGTACGGTCGATAGTGCGACTGCACAAGATTGCAGTGGGGCAACCAATCACACTGTGTAGGAAGCTGACGGCGGCTGTGCGGATGCACAGGGAGCGACGAAGGTCCACCACTCGAAGTCGTCGAGTGGATAGGGACATGGGTGCATGCCTAGCAGGTGATTTACAAGAAAGAATGCACCGGTTGCCCACCCTTAGTTACACGATTGTACTGGGTCGACCGTAGAGGACCTGGCTGTGGTATCGCAACCACATCTCGAAGACGTTGAGGTAAGAAGTTCCCACGTACTTAAGACAGAGATCCCTCGAGCTGCTGTTAATGGACTAATGAGACCTTATCCATCTAAGCGAATGAGTTCCCAAAAACGTATGGACGTATTATCCAGAAAAGAAACCGAGACCTTCCATGTATTGATTAATGACGGGTCAAGTTTAGGCGCTAAAACACTTGATCGGATAGAGCCTAAAAAGTTGACTTTGCAAGTCACCTAGCTAGCTACGCAAGAAACAAAACGGTTTTTACTAGATCTGCGTATTGACAAGTTCAAGCAGATCAGCGTATGTGTTTCAAAGGACGAGGAAGTGACCAACATTCGGTTGGTAGTAGTACTCGCCGAAAATAAACTGGTTCGTAGCAGCTCATTGATGGATGACAATGTCCTCGATGAAATGACTCGAATTTAACCATAAATTGTCTTAATCTTGGGAGTAGCTTCAGGCCAATACTTTATTTGAGAATTTGATCTGATTCAATGACGTTTTCCCTAAATCCGTACCATTCAAATTGCCTTAAGGACAGTCCTCGAAATGAAATGAGTTCAAACCGGGCTCGAAGTACTGAGTCATTAAGTATTTATTAACTGCCTCTTGAACATTACTAGCGATCGACAAGCTCTTTTACGATCTCTTTGTTGCGGGCCATGTCAGGGAGTCAACTTCCCCTCACAGCTCTCTGACATTCTGTGTGCGAGGAGTCACCTGGGAGTGGCGGATAGTGCACGTGCCAAAAGCTGAATGCTGTAACGGTACCGGCTCAGACGCAGATACCGAGGAAGGACGTAATCATAAATGGCAAGTCAAAAATTCCATCTTCTCGTCCATGGATACGATGGGTGGATTATATCAGATCCTCATTTGCGAAAGAGACATCCCGTTTTCAGAAATGAGCACACCAAGCAGTATGATCTGGTGGTATCTAGCAATGCCATAAGATCTTCACAACGTACCTGCCACATTCAACAGATTTGTTACAAATTTGTTATAACCAGTGCGGGAACTCTCAACGAGTTTTTTTTTTTAGTTTATAGCTGGGATATGGGCGGAAAGAATGACGTAAAGATCACGGAAGTCACGTTCGTCAGGTCCTTACACTTATGCGTAAGCATAGATTTTACATTAACCTCAGAAGTGAAGATTCGCTGCAAGCGAATTACCACCATTTGGGTGCATTGTGGGTAAACACGGCGTACGCCCTAATCCCAAAAGAACAACATGATCACCGAACGAAGTGAACCGGATGATCTCAACATCTCCGGAAGTTACTCGGAGAGTGGCGTACTTGCACAAATACTCGAGCAACTACACCAAGATGACTGTTCATCTCTCTCGTCTCTCGAAAAAGAACGAGAAACTATCATGGAATGCTGATTTACAATGTAACACTGTAGGTATCAGGCAGAGCTTGATGCAATCACCCATCTTGTTTATTGTAGATTAATAGAGACCATTTCATGTGGTATTTGACACCAGCGATTTTTTCATTGGCTGTGCTTAAATGCAGTACGATGCAGACGGCGCAGAGCGTGTGGTCTGCTATCCTCCGCGTCATTCGCAAGCGGCTAAGCGCAATTTAGAGCATGACAAGGAATTTCTTGCCATGAAATACGAACTGGCGAAGTTTCGCGTCGATCTCTCAGGAGGCAAATCGTTCGTACTCTATACGGACCATGCGTCATGATGCATGGCCGTATACAGTCCACACCTCTCCTAGAGGATGGCTAGGTGGCTGTCCTTCTTCGCAAAGTACAGTGCTCCGTGCAATATCATCCAGGACGACTTGTTGTTGTCGCTAATGCGTTGTCATGCCGACAAAATTTTGATTCGGCTATGTGGTAGGATACGTCCCACTGTTGCAATACAAGTCACTATTATTTCGTCTTCAATACTGTTTGATGACATAAATAAGTCCTACGAAGGAGACAAGGCTCTTTTGCGGCTGAAGGATCATCTGGTACATCGATCTCGTAAATGTTCTAAGCCTTAACGGCCTTTGTATCAATTCGCAAAGGATCGATACATTACACGCGACGGGCAGCCGTATTTAACAGCTGTTTCCGGCTACACTCCTTGTGTCGTCATTCCCACATATGATGAGTTGCGATTGCGCATCCTTTATGAGTGTCACGATGCAGTAATGGGTGGGCATAGTGGTAAGTAAAATACTTGCCTAACGGAAGATCGCGACATTAACTGGCCCTGCCAGTGTCATTTCGTGAGCAAGTACATTCGTGCTTTTAAGGTGTGCCAACGAGTAAAAATCGAATACTTCATCCCGTGCACTACTAGAGCCTCTTTAAATCCCGGCAGATTACTGGCAGTCCGTTTCAATGGACTTTGTCTTCGAGATAAACGAAGACGCACACAAGAGTAATGTAATTCTTGTGCTCGTCGATTGATTCATTAAGATGGTGAATATGCTGTCTTTCCGAATTCAATTACAGCTCAGTGCTGTGCCTACTTCAGTATTGACACGGTCTTTCGACTCTATGATCTACCCCGTAAACCAGTTTTATTTACTGAGATCCACGGCCCATGGCGGACTTTTGGCAATCCGCGATCCGATTACTCGTGAACATGTCAACATCTAACCATCCAGCGACATATAGTGAGACAGAACGCTATAACCGCGTTGTTGGATAAGTGCTTCGAGGATACGTCAATCCTTCATCAATTAAAGCTACGCTTTGCTAATTGTTGAGTTTGCAATGAACAACTCGGTGCGTGCTTCCGCTACGCATACACCATTTTTCGTGAATGGCTTGTGCCATCCGCGCCTACCCGCTAGCTAAGAGTGTATATCCGGTTCAAAGGGATGGTAGATCCGCTCGAGTTTAAACCGTTTTGGCTTTTGTTCAGGAAGCATCGAGATACGCGACGACGCGAATGTTGCTAATGTCGATCTAATCGATATCAAGAGTATAGCCTCAGCAAACGTGACGACACTCTCGTGATCCAGTCGAGGACGCCGATGGTGGTATATCCAACATCATAAATGTCTACACTAGTGGCGTGAGAACACTCTCGATGAATTGGGTAATGAACTCATAGCATTGTGCACAACGCACACTTTTACAAACGAACCAGAGTCAGCAAAATAATTTGTAGCGGCAATAAAGGTAGTAGTCCTTTTCGCACGAGACTCCATCGCTAACGCGGTTGAACGGCAAAGACAAAACGCTGATTGAAATGAAAGAGCATACGTTGTTCCTCCATAATTTTGGATTCTTATTCCTAATGTCTAAAGTAAAACTACTTAAGCGCGCATTAGCTAGTGTGGGTAATAGCAGACTACTACCAAAGTATATCAACCTGGTTTGTGTACTACGTCGCAAAATAATTGCGTACACGATCGAATCGCCTCGCAAAATGCGCACGCATCCTACATTTTCTGCCGGTCTTCTCCACCCGTGTAATAATCACGAGGATTCTTCCTCAGGCGAATAAAACCGCCATGCTGAAAAACCTCCAAGAGCTTCTTTTGGTCCCGAGCCAGTTTCTCAGTAGGAATCTGTAATACCGCATGCTGGCGACGAATGTCATACACTTCTTCACAAATGGCCTGACTCTCCCGCGATTGGTCGTCCGATTGGTAAAGGTGATAGCGTTGTGCCGACGCCTACAAAGAGGCGATGCCTCTCTTACGTGACGTAATCACGCCGGTCTTTTAGGTGCCGCTCGAGATGAGAAGTCTCCGCCTTTAACTACAAGAAATTGTGAATAGTTGATACTACAGACCCAGCTATAGTCATTGGTAGAATCGCACTATGGTCAACGCTTTCACGAGAAGTGTAACGGGGCACCCTGAAGCTTGTACTGGTGACAGTACAAGCTACTTAGTCTGATAACAGAATAAGGCGGTGCCTCGTAACTTCACGTACACTCGTACGTGCAGAGGAAGACGGTAAGAAGAAGCGAGTACTCGGTTAGAGTAAAAAGTAGAACTGTATTTATAATAGTTAATGTCTGCAATAAATCACTATTTATCTTCATCTAACTATGTCTAAATACAAATGTGTAAATCAGTTATCTGCTCACCACTCATTGCGTGCGTCTGTCGTGGCGCGTCTTCGTTGGTTGATATAATGGCCTATATCAACCAATTAGGAACTACTTGGAAGTGCTACAGAATATTGTCCTTATGACAATATTCTGAGAATATAACTCTTATAGTTATATTCTATTAACAATTTCTTATAAATTGTTATGTAACGATTCACCCCGTTACATCACCCCCTTAACCATCAGTCACTTTAGTGACTGATTGACTAAATGGATACTCGTCCCAAATCATTTGGGACGGGGTTTGCACTTGTTGGTCCGCGTCCACTTTCCAACATCTCATCGCATGGTAAACAAGCCCATGCGATGCGCGAGCAAGGCCGCCGAGAGCGCGTCTGCACGTCTCTGTGCGGACGCCGAAGCAGAAACTACAGCAACTGATGTCCCATCGGTTGCTGAATCGACTCAGCCTGTATCACCTGGTGATGCAGGCGCTGGTCATGAAGACACTCGTGTCTTCACAGAGTACGAGCTCGGTGTCTCGTACTCTCCTGATACGGATGAAGGATCCGTATCGACGGCAATTGAATCCAAGCCGCCTGCCAAGCGTGGCATGGACGATGCTTTGCGTCGCAGCATCTTTGGTTCATCTGATGAGTCAGATGAACCATCGCCAACGAAGGCGCTCGAGGTCGCGAGACTCGGGCGCTAATAGTGGTGTCGTTTCTCCAATGGACACCACTTCACAGCGAGGTGCCAGTACTTCTGTCGGCACGTCGCAGGAAGAGCGGGACCGCAATGTGTTGCGTCTCGCTCCAGAAAAGAAGGCATGGATGCCTCCTAAATCTGTCATGGATCACTTGTCGGCGACGACGAGTGATCGTTATCGAACACGATTGTTCGATTCGTCAAGAGATCCATCACCTTGACCCCAGCGCGAAAGACTATCGCGCTGAACATGAGTTCTTCATCGATGCTTTCTTCAGACATCGATGGTACAGTGGGAATCACAAACGTGATGGTCCCTCACTACTTCAGGCGTGGAACGCCTACATCCATAATCTCGAGGATGTAGGTCGTGACGCTTGGAACGACAAACTTATCAAAGCTCGTGATAAGTTTGAAAAGCGAACCCCGACAGGTGCACGCTACAAGCTGCATCGTCTGTCAAGGGAGAAAGGATTACCCTGCCTCTCTTGGGGAGACTCGTGCCCATGTTGTGTGAACAACTCTGCACGAGCACCTAAGGAGGCTTACCTCCTTACCAGCCCGTGGTGGCGCGTACGTGTCTCTACTGAGATGTACGAAGGGATTGACAACCTGAAATCCCTTTACGACCGTGCCGGGAAGACTTTCTCCGGCGGTCCTTCTGCGGCACAGGATGTGTCGCGTCGTACTGCTCGACCAGACCCAGTACGTCAACCATCAATTGGGAGCGGGGCTCCCAAGAATCCCAGGACGGGGGATAGCCGCGCCACCGGACGAGGTAACTCGTCCGACGTCCGTTCACGTCGCGGTGGTTCAACAGCTGCTCTACTAGATAGCGCTGGCCACCGCGAGAGTCCTCTAATGGAGGTGGAGGGAGGAGGAAAGACGCTCTCCACACGATCATGTGGATCGGTGTGTTCCCGAGAGCTTCTTTGATCGCGTAACGCAAGGGTTACGCGACGATCTCGAGCATGAGCGGAATAGGCGTCTCCAGATGGTGGACACTGCCTCGAAGCATCGAGCTGAGTTTGCCTTTGCTCAGCTTGAGAACGAGAGATCTCTGACATCTCTTCGTGACGAGCTAAGGGTAGCTCGTGGGATTGTTGATCGGTCTCGGGCTGAGATAACTGCTCTTCAGACCCTTGTTGATGCCCACCATCAGGAGCACAAGGCTCTCTGCGAGATGCTTGAGCGCAAGGGCGTTCTTCATCGGAAGAAGCAGCGTACTGATGGTACGGCTTAAGCCGACCAACGTAAAACGTGGGATGCGTTCGCATCTTACGTGGTAACTCGATCGTGTATGCATTGCCTAGGCGGTGCAATACACGAAATGGGCCAATGTACTTGGGTAGTAGTTTACTGCTACCCAAGTTAGTCACTACATGTTTTGGTAGATTAACCGTAGACAGTAGGACTAAGTCACCTTTATTAAATAAAAGAGTGTTTGCCCTTCCATTCTTGTCAGCGTTTTGCTTTTGCTTATCCACCGCTTCGGCGATGGAGTCTTGCACAAAACGGACTACCGTTTCACGAGCCAGTATGAACTCATCTGATGACTCGTTAGCTTCAGTGTGCTGTGAGCGCACTGCAGCAACAACAACCTTTTCTTCAGTGAGGGCTTCCGCACTCTCACTGGCATCATTGTATTCAGTGAGGGCTTCCGCACTCTCACTGGCATCATCTTCTTCGATATCGATGTTATCGATATCGGCATCAAACGCAATGACTTCTTCGTCAGAGCGTGATGAGCGTGAACCAAATCGGTTTTTGCTCGCGCGAGTCCCTCCCCCCCTTAAACCAGAGTTACACTCTAGTAAGGTGGGTACACGCGGATGGCGCAAGCCATTCACGTAAAACGGTGTATGCGTCGTGGACGCATGCACCGAGTTGTTGATGGCAAACTCTACCATTGGCAAAAACTCACTCCAACTCTTAAAGGAGTGTACGTATCCTCGAAGTATCTCTTCAAGGACACGATTGGCACGTTCCGTCTGACCATCTGACTCTGGATGATCAGATGTTGACATCTTCAAGCGCGTTCCGAGTGATTTGAACACGGAACGCCAGAAATCAGCAGTGAATCGTGGATCTCTGTCTGATACGAGTTCACGGGGCAACCCATGAAGTCGGAAGATGGTGTCAATAAAGACACAAGCACAGCCACTTGCCGTGATTGTCTCTGGTACAGCCACAAGGTGTACCATTTTGCTGAATCTGTCAACAAATACGAGAATACCCGTATTCCCGCGTGCGTCTTTGGGTAACCCGAAGACGAAATCCATTGAGATGGATTCCCAGCACTCAGCCGGAACCGGTAGAGGCTGTAAAGGTGCACGCAGTGAAGGACTTGACTTCACTCGTTGGCAGACTTCGCATGCGCGAACATACTTTCGCACAAACTGATACTGGCGGGGCCAGTAAAAGTCTCGACTTACCGTGAGATATGTTTTCTCTCGGCCACGATGTCCTCCTATAGGAGCATCGTGATACTCGAACATGATCCGCAAACGCAGATCAGTATCATCTGGAATGACAACACGTGGTGTGTCACCAGAAACGGCTGTATAGTACAGTAAACCGTTACGAGTAGTGTATCGATCTGATGCAGATCGATACGCAGACGACAATCGTTTCAACGATTCTCGAGATGGTTGGGAGAGATGTGACAACAACTTCACTATCTCACCATCTTGGGCGTATGCCCGCCTCACATCATCATACAACGTTGTAGATGGAACTGAGGACGTCATAACCGCAACAGTGACTGTCTCACTGTTGGGTTTCGCGACTGTTTCAAAGTCGGGACGACGTGAGAGTGCATCAGCGACGACATTAAGTCGTCCTGGTTTGTACTCGACCGTAAAGTTGTATTCTGCAAAAGAATGACAACCACCGCGCCATTCGTTGTGAAAGGTGCGGGCTGTTCACTGCCGTGCGTAAGGACGCATGGTCAGTGTAAACAACGAAGGGTCTATCTCCTAATAGATAGACTCTGAACTTCGCGAGTGCATACTTCATGGCAAGGAGTTCCTTGTCATGCACTGGATAGTTCCGCTCAGCTGGTTGCAGCTGACGCGACTGATAGCAGACGACGCGTTCAACGCCTTCAAGGTCGTACTGCATTAATGCACAGCCGATTGCGAAATCGCTGGCATCACAGACCACATGAAATGGCCTGTCCTGATCGGCTATTGCTAGGACTGGGGATTGTATCAAGCTCTGCTTGATACCCTCAAAGGAGCGTTGACATTCAGCGTTCCATAACCACCTCTCGTTCTTTTTCAACAAACGAGAGAGGTGCACAGTCATCTCGGCGTAATTGCGTGAATACTTATGCAAATACGCCGCTAGCCCAAGGAATTTTCGAAGACCTTTGACATCGACCGGCACAGGCCAGTCGGTGATCGCCTTGATCTTTTCGGGATCAGGACGTACACCGTTCTTACCAACGATGCACCCAAGAAGTGGTATTTCGCTTGCTGCAAATATACACTTCTTGAGGTTTGCATACAATTGATGCTTTCGCATGATTGTAAGAACTTGTCGGACGTGGTACTTGTGAACCTCAACGTCCGACTTTCCATCCATAGCTCGACTATGGATGAATACGTCATCGAAATAACTCGGCGCGAATTCTCGTACTGGCCTCAACAGATGTGATACACACCTGTTGAACGTGGCAGGGGCATTACTGAGCCCTTGTGGCATTACTAGCCATTCCCAGAGCATGCCGCTAGGCGTGCTAACTGCGGTATAGGGTATATCCCGTTCCCGCATTAGGATTTGATAGAAGCCATCCATCAAATCCATGGACGAAAAAGATGGTACTCTTTGACATACCATCAATGATTACGTCCTTCCTCGGTATCGGCGTCTGAGCCGGTACCGTTGCAGCGTTCAATTTGTTAAACGCGTGCACTATCCGCCACCCTCCTGTTGCTTTTCGCACACAGAAGGTCGGAGAGCTATGTGGGGAAGTTGATTCCCCTCACATGGCCCGCTGCTAAACGATCGGCAAAGAACTTGTCGATCGCAAGTACTTGTTCACGAGGCAGTGGCCACTGCTTCATGACACAGTACTTCGAGCCTGGTTTAAGCTCGACTTCGTGTCGAATACCTTTATCCTTCGGTAATTCGCACGGAACAGTTTCAGGGAATACATCCTTGAATTCAACCAAATCTTCATAGAGAGGATTTTCCTTGAGCGATTCCCATGATTGGGACTCATATCGCTCAATTCGTGTCTTTTCATCTAGGACACTCTCGTCCATAGATGAACTACTGAGAACTCTCTCGTTCTCAGTAAACACTGTTGCTGACCTTATGTCGGTTACATACTCGTCGTCAGCGACGAGTATGCAGATCTGCTTGACTTTGCCACTACGCAGATCACGCAAGAACCTTTTATGTTCGAGCGTTGGCAACTGAGTGATCTCCGAAGTTAACTTCGGAGGCGCAATCAGATCAAGTGTATAAGCGCCTACACATGATCCGTTATTGACTATGACATTCAATGTCTCTGTCATTTCCTGGGGACTTATTCCCTCAGGCTTCGAAGGACTTATTCCTTCGTCTTCCCGGGGACTTATTCCCGCGGGTTTCGGGGAACTTATTTCCGCCGTATTTGTAATCTTGGGACTTATTCCCTTTACTTCCTCTAGCTGGGGGTTGCGCAACCACAGCGAGATCCTCTACGAAAGACTCTCCAGTCGATCTAGGATTATCGTTTCGCTTAACCTGAGCGATCGATTGTTTCTCTTCTAGATGTTCCCCGCTAGGGATACATCTTTGTCCCAGTCCACCCGACTTATTCGAGTGGTGGACCTTCGGCGCAGCCTGTGTTTCCTCACAGCCGCCGGAACTTTGCTCCGAAGTGTAACCGTTTGGTACACTAAGGTTTTGTGCAGTCGTACTAACGACCGTACCACAAGTGAGGCCATCGCACTCACTCGTAGTACATCCACACGCTTGTGGACGCTCCAAAACGTTCATCAGATGGCCATCTGATGAACAAGCGGCAGGCATCGTTACTGTCCGATGTTGCCAGTTTACCCGTGGTTCGTACCTTCTGAGCCACGGTATTCCAAGGATGACATCAAATTTGTCATCCAAATCCAATACGATAAAGTCATCGTCGTATTGGGTATCTTCTAGCGTATAGTGAATCTTCACTATACGCTTCATGACGGTTACGGATGCGCCTGTCGCAAGACGTACCGTCATCCTCGTAGGAGGTGTGTCACATTCACTGAATTTAAAGTGACCATCTTCTAGCGATTGGCGTCGCACAAAATTGTTGGACGCCCCACAATCGACTAGAGCTCGAAGGGACAACTTATTCGTCACTTCGAGTTTCAAGGTAATGAGTGAGATCTCATTACCTAGAGCAGCAACGCACAATGTCTGTGTGTTGGGAGCAACCTTCATCAAGAGGCCTACAAATTCTCTTGACGTTGCTGGATCAGTAGGGTGCTCCGCACCTACTGATCCTGTCCGTTTTTTTGACGGTCCATCCCGTTGTTGCGTCTTTGCACCAACTGCGGACCCTCGTCCCTGCCCCCCTTTCTCATGGGTGGACGGTCACTACGCCCAGTGTCGCGAGACACTGGACGAGGGGCACTACACTCGTAAGCGTAGTGTCCTGTCTTTTGACATCTGTTGCATCTCTGCAACTTCTTGTAGCCTGTAGAGCGAGCCTTCTCGCTCTCTACATAACAGAGTTCCATCGGCTCTGGACCTCCGTTGTCATATCGTCTCGGTTGACGATATGATGTCGAGCTGGCGCGAGCCTGTCTCAGACTGAAGTCTTCCTGCTCCGCAATTGAAATGGCTTGTTCTAGTGAATCTAGTTCAAGCCGGAACAGGTGAGTCTTGACGGGACCATCCGCAAGACCCTGCATGAACACCGAAACCAACGTGTGTTCATCCACCGGATTGGAACTTATACAACTCGTGAGATGTCGTATATGTTGAGCGTAAGCGTGCACATCACGCTTACCCTGCTTGAGCTTCAAGAGTTCGGTTCGAGCTCTGAACTCAGCTCTAGGCGGTTCAAACGTTTGTCTGAGCCGCGACTTGAAGACTTCCAACGACCCAAACGCGTATGGGTCGTGCAGCTTGAGCCCCAGTGCCCAAGTCTTGGCACGTCCTGCCAGATTTGACTGGGCAAATGCAACTTGCATATCCCCGTCGTCGATGCGACGCGCCCTTATGGCGTCATCCAATTCGACGAACCATCTCAAGAGGGAGTCTTCTTCGACCCCCTATACTTTGAGATGTCAATCTTCAAAGTCTCGGGTCGACGCGAGTGCATCGACCCGCCAGCAGCAGCTTGCTGCTGTCTCAACAGTTCAAACTGTTGAGCACCTTGTTCTCTCAACAACTCTGCTTGTTGAGAACCTTGTTGGTGAAGCAAGGCTACTTTCTCGCGTTCTGCGTCAAGTTCATTTTGAATGAACTTGGCGATAGTAGCATGTTGGGCATCTCTATTGAGAGCCTCTAGCATGACGCTAACAGCATGGATGCCCATGGTCGAACCCATTCGTTCAACCGCATCCCATTCGACATCGCTCAAATGGGAGTAGCCGTCACGCGTAGCGTGAAAGCTTTGGTCATCTTCATCATCCAACATATTCATGTTGGATGTGAACGCGGTCCTTGGACGGACTACAAAGTGCTACCAGGTGTAACGGGGCACCCTGAAGCTTGTACTGGTGACAGTACAAGCTACTTAGTCTGATAACAGAATAAGGCGGTGCCTCGTAACTTCACGTACACTCGTACGTGCAGAGGAAGACGGTAAGAAGAAGCGAGTACTCGGTTAGAGTAAAAAGTAGAACTGTATTTATAATAGTTAATGTCTGCAATAAATCACTATTTATCTTCATCTAACTATGTCTAAATACAAATGTGTAAATCAGTTATCTGCTCACCACTCATTGCGTGCGTCTGTCGTGGCGCGTCTTCGTTGGTTGATATAATGGCCTATATCAACCAATTAGGAACTACTTGGAAGTGCTACAGAATATTGTCCTTATGACAATATTCTGAGAATATAACTCTTATAGTTATATTCTATTAACAATTTCTTATAAATTGTTATGTAACGATTCACCCCGTTACAAGAAGCGTATCTTAAACCACCGTGAGATGAAGGAACAGCGAACGCGTTATCTCGTTTACTGGCACAGCTATCCGCCGTCTCACGACAGCTGGGACCTCGCGCCCAGCTTATAGTTGATACTGAGGGTCTCGTCCTAAAGCACGACGGGACGAATCTGAAAGCTTATAAGGGCCTATAAAAAAGCGCTCGTGGAACTGGTTGGGCGATCGTTGATTATCATTTGCATCTCGCATCTCAGCAGTGATGCGCGCCTTAACTCACGGGGGGGAAAGGGAGTACACCTCCTTTTGGATGAGCTGATTGTTGTTGAAATAACAAGGACATGGGTTTCCTCACGGGAGGCATGGAATTACTGTCGTACGATACGGATCTTGTAACCTGAAATTTGCACCAGTCAAGGTTCGTCTCTCAAACCTGACGCGAGCTGTATTAAGGTTGGAAGATTAGCTTCGCGCCCAATATGCCGTACATTGAGAACAAAGGCGATCCACGCCTACAACCAAGATTTTTTTCCTCATTTAGGGTTGTCACCATACCAACGATGCTTCAGAAAAGCATTAAGAATAAGGTCTCTTTCAGTGCAAAAGTGCGCCGCGTCGAGGCCGTGCAATACCCTCGCATCAAAAAGTGGAAATCGATGATGAAGACTAGCATTCAAAAGCCTTTCTGGTAGCACCAAGACTCGTTTCAGGGGCTAGTCGCAGCACATTGCTACCTCGAGCCTTATGCGTGACACCAAATTGAGTCTTGGTACCACTATAGTCGCCACCACTATGGCGCGAGTCATCGTCGCATTTTGCTAGAAGGCGAATACGCAGCAGCAGACGCAGGAATGAGTTTGCGTGCTTATTCTCCAAACTAAACAAACAATGGTGGCCATGAGTCTGACTAACAGGCCGGTTCTCATTTGAGATCTCACACTCGGCCTCCCCGGTCGACTCAGGCGACCAAGGTGTCTTCTGCGAGTCGTACTTATCGTTCGACTCCCCAAAATATATAATATCCATTTGGGAGCCATCATTAACACGTGTTGAGTCATCACATGCATCTGCGGCAACTGGTGTCGCAAGAAAAAGAGTAAAAAAAAGCAGCAGACAAAAAATCTCCTGCCGCAAGAGGCTGTGAAGTGTCACGAGCAGCTGCGTTAACACGCGCATATGCTATTTCAGCGGCCTTCTTTGTGCACCGCATGGGGTTCTTAGCCATGCGTGGCTATTTTAGAAATGTGTGGATTTGGCCAACAATTGCTCCCTATCCCTGATGTAATCTAGCGGTGACGATATTAAACATGATAGTATCGATCAAGTATCGTTTGGGAGGTGATATTACGGGGAGAGCCTGCTACACTTAGTTAACGCTCAATACTTGTTCTTTAGAACATCATTATGAAAGTTGGTAGTGTCCGTGAATATCACCATAAGCAGAAGTATTCAGAAGCACTTACCTATTGAATGATATGGGTCATCATATCAGTCAGCTTAAATGGTCCAATCAGTGACGAAAGCGCGCAATGAGTGGTGAGAAAAGGCTCTGCATCCATTTTACCAGGTAAATATAATCAAGTTAGGATCTGAGACATTTGATAATAACTATGACATAATTACATTTGACACAGTTTTACTTTCTACTTTATATTGACCGCGTCGTTCAATAGCTATCCTTTTTCTGAACATATGGTGTACGCGAAGTGACATGCGGCACTACTTTCACTGCGTCATTCTAAGTGGAATGGTAGTGCATTAGTACTTTTCACCAGCTCCCCGTTACACCGAGGTTTTATCCAATAACCCCCGATAGGCTGCTAGCGCACCTGGACTGGGCCGATCTGGAGGAATATTTAGGCAAGTTCGCTTCATGGGGCTCGGGAGACAAGCTCGGCGGACGGGCCAAAACCTTGACGGCTGAAGTAGAATATTAGGTACACGGTGAGGGGTGAAACCCGCCATTTTCGTGCCCCTTACCTCGTAGTGTCTGGGTTGTTACTCCCCTTTCAGTTTGCACGCTGTGCTGCCTCCCGTTGCGCACGAAGGGCAAGAAGGTTTCCCCCTACAGCCTAGGCTCCACGATAGATCACTTCCCACCCAGAGTAAGGGGGACGGCTAAATGACTCTTTGAAGGTTTCGTTGTTGTTTGAAGGAGCAAATTAGGAAGTGATGGTAATTTAGGCTCCGTCCCGCAGCGTTTCATCCCATGGGATCCTGCATCCCGATCTGGACGGGACGGGACGCAGAATGAGTCGGTCCCATCCCGCGCGTTTTGCACATCCCGCATTTTAAAATTGTCTTAGTACGTAACGTCCAGATTTCATAGTTTTCCACGATCATGCTATTTTACGGGAATCAAAAGAGCTTAAAATGTGAAAGCGTCATCGATTTTGAATTTTGTATCTGGTTAAATTCAGTTTTCATTGACATTTTTGATCTTTCTGCCCAAACATGCACGCAGGCATCATAGGTGCTTGCAAAGAGCATTTGGTTGTCACTAACGACGATCCGACGAACATTCTTATCTTACTGGAGCCTCGCGACTTCGATCTATGGTGAATGTAAGTTTCTTTTAGTGTCACTTGATTGCTCAAAAGCCTCATCAAGAGGTTGGGTGCTTCCATCAAACGTCAAAGTCGCTTATTAGCAATTGCGATAGCTTACAATGTTTGACTAAAAACATGCTTTCAGACGTTTCTACTTATTTATCTCTAATGCATTGATGCTGATAAATGCTCTAAATAATATTAAATTGTTACAACTACGTTAAAAACAAAGCTTTTCTCGCATGAATCTGCCATCAGCAGCACCGATTATCGAGCGGATCAGGATTTGAGCTTCTACCCTCGTTGTAGCAGCTAAGCATTGGTCATTTATCACATAGAGAAGTATTTTACCGTTTTACCATATTCCTCAATCTTTGGTACTTTCAACACATACGGATGTGATATTGTGTCCACAGACCTGGTCGCTGCGAAATATATGTAGTATAAATTATCAATCTTCTCGTCCCGCAGAATCCTGCGTCCCTTTCCGTCCTGCGCAGGATGGGACGCGAGATAGGCCAATCCCGCCCCGTTTTGCGCGGGACGGAGGAATAATGATATTGCAAAAAGTGAGTGCCAGGATAAATCATGAGCGAAATGATATTTATTAAGGAACAATCTGATAAAATCGTACGGCATTTAAACTGACGTCGGTGCTTATCGCAGTAGTTGCTGCTGCGTGCGTTCGCTGCCGCAAATAGTTATAGCGGAATTTTTAAATGATAGTCAGTCTGGTAGTAAAGCGATCACTAAAGTTCCGAGTGTGTATGTATAGTAACACAGCTTGAAAAATGTAAAATGAAACGGTTTGGCCGTCTCGCAAGCAATGCCATAAACTCGTTTTACCAGATGCGGCATACCCGCCGTAGAAGCAGATTGTGGTCATATCGCGTACCCTTTTTATGGTGACCTAACAACCTTGTGTAGTTTTGACGACGATTAAACCGAATTGCCCCAGTCCAAATCGCCAAGTTCGTCGTGACACAAGCGCGAGTCCTCTTAAGTACGCACACCCCCACAAAAACACCCACGTACCCACTCACCTCGACGGCCACGATGAAGAAGAGCGTTGTCAAGAATCGCGCGCCGGCGCCTATTCAGATCACAGCTGAGCAAATTTTACTTGAAGCCAATCAGCGCAAAGAAGAGGTCGCGCCGCCGCCGCGTCGTCGCATCGCCGATGCCGCGGAGCTTTCTGAGTACCGCATGGGCAAGCGCAAAGCGTTCGAAGACGAACTGCGACGCCAACGTCATCACATGGGAACGTGGATGAAATATGCGACATGGGAAGAAAGTCAGCACGAGTTTGCCCGCGCCCGCAGCGTCTTTGAGCGCGCGCTGGACGTGGACTACAAGGCGACGACGATCTGGCTTAAATACGCAGAGATGGAAATGCGTCATAAGTGCGTGAACCACGCCCGCAACGTCTGGGACCGCGCGGTCACGCTGTTGCCGCGTGTACCACAATTGTGGTACAAGTATGCGTTTATGGAGGAGATGCTGGGCAACGTACCCGGTGCGCGCCGGGTGTTTGAGCGCTGGATGGCGTGGCAGCCAGATGAACAAGCGTGGTACTCGTACATTAAGCTCGAGATGCGAGTGCAAGACATTGGGCGCGCGCGAGCGCTGTACGAACGCTATGTGGCGTGCCATCCCGGGGAAAAAGCGTACTTAAAGTATGCGAAATGGGAAGAACGGGCGCAGAAACAGCTGGCATTGGCGAGAAAAGTGTACGAACGAGCGCTTGAAGAGCTCCGTCGAGACGAAAAGACCGAGCAGATTTATCTGGCGTTTGCCCGCTTTGAAGAGCGATGTCGTGAGCTCGAGCGCGCGCGTGCAGTGTTTAAGTACGCGCTCGACACGTTACCGAAGGAAGAGGCACCGGCACTTTACAGTGCGTTTATTACGTTTGAAAAGCAACACGGCGATAAGAATAGGATTGAGGAGGTTGTAATTGCTAAGAGGCGCGTTGTGTACGAGCAACAGGTGGCTACTAACGCGCTGGACTACGACTCGTGGCTTGAGTACATTAAGCTAGAGGAAAACGAGGCGGTAGGTTCGCAGTCGTTTGGTAGAGTGCGGGACGTGTATGAGCGCGCGATCGCGAATGTACCACCTATTCCTGAAAAGAAATACTGGCGTCGGTATATATACCTCTGGATCAAGTACGCGTTGTTTGAAGAGTTGCTGGCGGGGGATTCTGACGACAGTGGTTCCTCGTCCGAGCGCTGCAAGCAGGTGTATCAGACGTGTCTGAAGCTGATTCCACATGAAAAGTTTACATTTGCCAAGATTTGGATACTTTACGCCAAGTTCCTCATTCGCCAGCGTGACGTACAAGAAGCGCGTATGACGCTTGGAGAAGCCTTGGGTCGCTGCCCGAAGAAGAAACTTTTTGTTAGCTATATTGACCTGGAGCTCATGATGGGTGAAATTGACCGTTGTCGCAAGATTTACATGCGTTTCCTAGAGTTTGACCCGCAAAATTGTGAAACGTGGCAGAAATACGCCATGCTCGAGAGGCAGGTTGGCGAAGTCGAGCGTGCACGTGCGATATACGAATTGGCTATCAAGCAGCCGGTCCTGGACATGCCCGAGATGATCTGGAAACACTACGTTGATTTTGAGATTGAAAACGGTGAGCGGGATAATACGCGTGCACTGTATGAGCGGTTGCTGGAGCGTACGAAGCACGTTAAGGTTTGGATTAGTTTTGCCCAGTTTGAGGCATCGTCGCCTGGTGATAAGGATGTTCAAGATGATAGTCTAGAGGCAGCACGCGATGTATTTGAGCGTGCATTGCGGCATATGAAAGAGCAAGGTGGTGATGAACTTAAGGGAGACCGCGTCTTGTGCATGGAGACGTGGCTAGAGATGGAGAAGAAGGGCGGTGACGCTGAGATGATTGCGAAGGTCAGCGAGATGATGCCGCGCAAAGTTACAAAGCAGCGCATGGCGTATGCACAGGATGGGGTATGTATTGCTTTGCTGCATTGCATGAGTGTGCATGAATGACTAACACGTTGTGCCGTGTGATGTTTTTTGGTTTTGTTTTGCAGACGGAATTGGGTCTGGAAGAGTACACGGATTACATCTTCCCAGATGACGAGCAGGCGCAATCGCACTTGAAGCTACTGCAGGCTGCACAACTTTGGAAGCAGAAGAAGCGTGCCCGAGAAGAAGCTGCAGTTGCAGGAAGCAACGAGAAATAACGATCAGCTTTGAGCCTTCTTTTGAATTGTAACAAGGTGTCCACACAGTTCTTCGTTAATTCTGCTTGCAAATGGAACCTCTCGTATTCGCTATCACAGTGGACGGGACTAGTACCGCAGAACCGGTACCACTTCCCAACCGATTGTTTGCTAAGATCGTCCGAGTCAAAAGATATGCGTCTTCTTCCCTGTTCAGTGCTGTCTCCTGGGCGCTTGACACGCGCGCGCTTCTGGCCAACAAGTGCATACGATAGCGTTGGATCTGCTCTTTCGTATGGTACCAAGTGCAGCTCTCGCTTCACTTCCACGGCTCCACCACGACACGTCTTTGCGGACTCCTCAGTCAGCATTGGGAGTCTCCCCTCTGGCGCCGGAAGAGACACGGGCAGAGCGTGAATTGCTGAGCTCTTTACCGGAGTTTCAAGAGGCAGCACAGGTGCTGCTGGGCCAAGGAGGAGAAGCAGCGAAGCTCTTGCCCGACTATAAACGGGCGGGAAAACGCGCTGCCGAAGCTCCAGCGCACCGTCGAGATCTGCCGTTCGTCCATGGGCTTCCAGAGCGTCTATTTGCAGGCAGCTTTACGCCACTTGGTGGCTACGCTCGTAATGAAAGGCGACGTAGCGGCGGCCAGAAAGGTCATGCAAGAACGTGGTGACGTGATGCAGTGGCCAATGGCCGAGCACGAGCGGATGCTGCGGCTGCTGCTGCGTGCAAATTTGCCAAAAGAGGCTGAGAAGTGGTGCACCAAAGAGGAGTTTGTCAAGCTGTCGCCAAAGGACGAGACGGTGCCGCTCAAGTGGACGTTGTACGAGTTAATCGGCAAGGAACTCAGTGGAGGAGCGGAGCATTTGGCGAAAACTGTGGACGACCCGCTGTTTGTTCAGGCTGTCGAGACATTGAGAGAAAAGAAGGATGTTGTGCTGCAGCATGAAAAAGCAAGCAATGTGAAGGCAAGCGAAGTGCAACTAGGACGCGACATTCCCTACTTATTGGCACAGTATGCGTCGTTATCAGTGGCCAGCACGCGAGCACTGCCAAGGCATGAAGATGCCGATTCGAAGGTGCCGCCGAATGATGCTCAGCTGGTGAGTTTGAATCAGGCTGAGGTTCTGTATAAGGAGGCGTTGGCATGGGTGGAGAAAACAGCAGCTGAGAAGGAGAAAGACGCTTTGCTGGCATCTGGACCAAATGCTCCTTTTGGAGCTTGGGTTGAGACCAACCTGGGAGAGCTATTGCTGCGCCAAAACAAGCCTGAAGAAGCCATGGAGTGGTTGGGCAAGGCCATGGACACGTTGCAGGCTGCGCAAAATGGTACCGGTGGCAGCGCGCTAGCGATGACCCGTGTGCTTGGTCAGATCGCGCGAGCTTGCCATGCCATGGGCCAAGCCGTGACGAGCGAGGGTCTCTTTGTCACTGTCGTCGAGTCATTTGAGCGCGAGAAAAACCTATCTTCGACAGACCGTGTCGAGTTTTCACGCGTGTTGCGTGCCTATGGCGATTTGTTGGCTAGCTGGGAGAAGCGCGAAGCTAGTGCAGCGAGGAGGTATGAACAGGCTGAGCGTGTCGAGCAGGATCTCGCTCGGATGTGCCAAGCCAACCAAAGTGCTGCCGCGCTGCATTCTGTATTTTTCTTGCCGCTATGAGGACGAGGAGCTGGAGGGAGCGAGGGAAGGAGCTTGGTTGTGAAGTAGCGTTTGGTAGCTGACGAAACACGCGGTGTTGCCTTTAAGCAAAGGTTGAACATGGATTTGGTCACTGAGGAAACACAACGACATGGTGACTAATTATCCGTTCCGGAACCCTCTGAGCGACCATCACAGAGCCGATTGTCAATCAACTCGTGGCAATTGTGCCGTAACTATTGTTGCTCTGGGCGAGGCAAATTGTAGGCTGGACACCACTCTGAACAAGTCGTTCGGATCCCGCCAAGGACATTGCACAAAACAAGAACAAAAACGACGCAGCCATCTGCATATCGAATTTAGCACGCGTGCATGTGTGAGCACACAAGGTAAAGAGCAGAGCCACAAAGTTCACGAACATACCAAAATCATCCACGGCATTACAATGACGAAACTGGACACCGTCTTGCCATCCAATCGCTCTGCAAGAAGAACGAATGGGGCAGCCAGCAAAAAGTTGACACCACCAGTAATTACTGCATCCGTCAGTTCATCGGTTGAAGTGGAATTTCTGTAATGCGCGACGAGGCAGCAGAAACGGTATGCGACCAGGATCCACACAGGAGTCATGATTTGCCACCAACTAGTACCCAATAGTCTTCCGTCAACTTTCATTTCGGTCAACGAAGCCTCGAGAATCGGCAGCAGTATGAAGCCAGTCTTGTGCACGACTGCCTTCGCGAGCAGCCAACCTTCTGTGTCGGTACTCTCCGTCTGAAGAGCTCCAGCTTCAATATTATCGGTCAAGGGTATCTGATACCTTTGCACAGTACCAGCCAGAGTCTCCAGCACGTTGAGACCCTCATACATGAAGTACGGAGTTAGCACTGCTAGGAGGCTCCAGTCTACCACGCCGTTCAACTTTATCACGATCAATGCTTGTGTCAATAGCAGCAACAACAGTTTGCAAAAGGAGAACAGCTTGACATCCGAGAATATCAGCGAGAACAGCGCATAGCCATAGTAAACAGCGTCTAGGATCCATAACGGAGTGAAGACCAGCATCCATGAGACCGAGATCGAACCATCCTGGCGAAGACAACACAAAACTACCGAATTGAAACGGACGAGTTCGTTACGAGTGCAGCTTACACCCGACCTTACGAGCATCAATATACTTACCGGGAAATGTCAGTGCGATACAGAAGAGCACCAGGGCGAGCACGAGAGTGAAACACCGACCACGGAAGCCAAACCCGCTTACAGTCGCACACAGAGCCTGGCAAGATATCCTTCTGTTATGATGGGATCGACAAGTCAGCAAGCTGATGGACGTACGTCAGTGCTCCAGCCGTGGTTGTTCATATCCAAGCAGAAACGGATCTTGCTACACAGTGTAAGTAGATGTGGACAATTGCTGAACAATGATAGTAGCAGCATGGACATGTGATACAAAAGCTCAGTCCTCGACAGAGCGGAACCGCTCATAGTCGCTGGCGACTCTCACACTTTTATCGAGACACTTTCAGCGCCAATTGTCTTACTCTACCATCAGCACTTGCTGCAGCTCTATGTTACATCGCTTCCTTGGCCTCACGACCAGAAGAGCTCAAAGTGCGCAGCGTGGTACAGCTACCTGACATCATAGCAGCCCGACTAATGTGTGTGCTGGAATCACTAGCAGCGAGACAGTGTAGGCCGGATCAACGCAAATGTGCGATACAGCAGCCTAGCGCTGTACTGTGCTTGCCGCATTGACCCTGATATTGCACGCTTGCAACGTCTTGAATGTTTGCAGCTGCATTGAATTCCTCTGTTTTTCTCGTTGTTGCTGACTGCCCGACTGTATGCAGCAACACTATCCAAGTAAGAAAAAAAGCGCGTGACGTGCTGACAGGTTGACTAACGACCTTGCCTAGCTGCGTGCGGTAGCGATCACACGTATTAGCTTCTTACAGCTTCACACCCCGTCAAATTCTAATCAAATCGCATGCAGTTATTGACAAACGCTCAATCGACTGCATGACATCCAGTAATTCGGCAGCCAAAAGCCGTCTTAAAAACTCGCACGACATACTACTCTATCCCATTTGTGTACGGACTGAAAAGTTATGTGAGCTACATGAAAATTATGACTGGCTAAAATCAACCTTTTTCCAGTCTGTTTTGATTGGCGATTTATCATCACAGACCAGCTATTCTGAGGTATTAATAGCGAGCGCTCGCCAGCGAAAAACGAAGGTGAAACAATTTTTAGCTGCCATGAATTTAGAAGATCATTTTTACGTGGAGAGCCTCCCTCGTCGTTACTGATGGCTTCAGTGCTTGTTTCTGAACATTCATTGCGAGCCTGAAGAGTGAAGCTATTAGTGAGTGTGCGCAAGACTGAATGCTGAACTTTTAAATCGCACTTATCTGAGTGTGTCTATCTATCTGTAAACATTAGGTGTACCCGCACGTACTAAGTGCGATCGAGGCTGCCCCTTTCTCATAGGTACATTGCACTTACGAAGTCACTCTTTGGTTAAATCACTGTTGTGACGCACGCATGTGATTGGCTAAAAATCGATCAAAGGTGAATACGACCACACAGTCAAAAATTAGACGCTCATCAACAAAGGCCGATCGCGTTGCCCTTGCCTACTGTGCTGGGTTGATACCTACCTTAACAGCATTACACTCATTTTTTAGTGTCTGCTGCTGTCGTATGGTTTTTTACAACTTAATTTAGCTCTCCGAACTAGATTACGTATATTGGAGCGCGAGCTCCAGAGCTTGCTCGCCTATCTTCACACTGCTGGTTAGATAGTCACGCGGGTTTTTGGATGACTGAAACTGCTTGCTCGAGTGAAATCCAACACCTTTTAACTTCACTGCATTAAAAACATTAAAATCTCTAAAAAGCGAACAGAAATCAACAGGTTATTCCTTCGGTATCTGCAGCTGAATGGGCTCCGAAAATGTCATAAAACGCTTTGGAATGAGCTCTTTGCGCTGGTGGATGGTATTTTCGTCTAAAAATACAGATGTGTCAAAAATGCGAACAAACGCGTGGTAATCCGTAAACATATGGAAAAGGGTAGTACCACGCACTCGCTTTGTACCAATAGTACCTCCTTGACCATTTTATATCGTCGGGTTAGGCGGAGGCAAACAACAGGGGTACAGTCATTCCTCGGATGACTCAGATCCTCATATCATCATGACTCATATAACTCATGCAAATAGCGTTCCATCATGCTCGTTCTATGGTCGCTGCCTAATAGCTTCTAACTCATAACTGTCGGGAATTTAAGAGTTTTTTTAAGAAACATTCGTTCATGCGAGAATACTCCTGAGCATTGGAAATCATGTTCTTGTATAATAAATGCACAATTGAGAGGGAATGAGCGTCTAAGTAGTGGCAGCCATACGGATGGACACGTGAAGTACCATCCGCACTGGCCGTGAAAGCAATAGAGATCCGCACCTAAATAAAATGGGAAGTGACTGGTCTTAAATTTACAACAATTAAACCTTAAACATCTTCTAGGAAATAAACCAACTCTGACCTTCCATTACTTGAGATCCTCAATCTCGATATACGCAGCTGTCTTTTTGAATTTATGATCTAAAAAGGCCTAATTCTTGTTAGTATTGCACAGCATCAGTCTAGATTACGATCTCTTCATTCTCAAACATTAGTTTTGTGCATATTATAAACATCTTTAGGCTTCCAACCCAAATTCAGGAAATGCTGCATCTATATCTTCCTCACTTGCTAAACCGCTCTCACCGGAATCTGATGCTGTGCAGCTTGTTTCGCTGCTGCTGGTGTTGGGACTATCTATTGATGAACTTAAAGGTGTCCTCAGGTAGGCCAAGGCGTTCATAAAAAGATCCTTGACCTCGACGAGATCTGTGAGTAGGTAAATATTTCTTGTTTGGCATTAAGGCACCCAAGTTTACAGGTCTTCCTCCGTTTTTGAATGATGAGTGAATATCTGGCTTTTGGTGAAAAGTTTGTTATCTGTAATATATTCTAGATCAGTGCGCTTCTTGATTACCAGTATGGACTCCAAACTTGCTGGAAGCCCAATTTGTCAGCACAATCTGACTCGCTTTTTTGTGTTCTAGGCCATGTCTTAACAAATCTCGAGCTTTTGTGCATTGGCGACACTACTCGGGACATGTCGATGTGAAATTTAGAAAGGGAAACCGGTAGTTTTCTGCTTATTCCTTTTCATAAAAAAGAAACTTGGAAAATCGGAAATTCATGTAACTCATAACTCGGCGAACTCATAAAATTAGGCTCCACCAAGCCTATAAATTATCCGAGAAACGACTTTAACTATAATTGCACCTACATCTATTGCTAACACACATACATGATTCGTAGGCTACCTATTTAACTTAATTAAACTTTGGTGACAAGTGCTAAGAGAACCCCCACTATTTTAACAGAAGAACAGCCACTATTTAGCCTCAGTCAGGCCTCTTTTTCTGTCTTCGTAACTTTATCGTCTACGTGACGATGATCAATCTGCACCTCTGGTGGTGCCGCTCACGATGTTGATCCTGAGTTGGCCTCCTTAGTTAGTCTTAATACTGCTATTAATGCTGCTGCGTACACCGATAAAGACACCACTCATACTGTCAATCGTTTCGCCCCGCTCCGTCATGGAGCTGTGAAGTTGTGGAGACCCCTCCCTGTAGTGCCATACGGAGGTCAAGGTAAAGCTGTCCGTAACGTAAAGCAGTACGCTATGCGCCAAGGTTTCGCTGTCAGCAGAGCCCACACAATATCGCATGGCACTAGGCGCGTTTTTTTACTGCTCGCAAGAAAAACAAAATCACTAATTTCACGGCCCCGTTTAGTGTCGTTGCTAAACCGCGCATTTAAATTCCATTCAGTGTCGTTGCTAAACTTCGGATCTAAATCCCCGTTTAGTGTCGCTGCTAAAGTTCGGATCTAAATTACCGTTCAGTGTCGTTGCTAAACCGCGGACCTAAATCCGTTTGCAGTTTGTATGAGTTCGCGGCCACCTTTGACAAGAACTTGCCAGATGTGACCCCGGTCGACACTTAATTTGTTTAAGACAACTGCCACTCTAGATACGCCCAGAGCATTAACAATATAAAGCTGGCGTCACTACCAGCGGCGCGACGTGTGTCACGAGAAAGATACTATACGAAGGCCACATTTGTGTAGATGCATTAATCCGTAGCTGCTGTATAGTAATGTGCACATACGTGATAATATAAAATGTATTTAACACGTGCCATACCTGCTTTTTATTTCAGCTCATATTGAACCACTTAAAGGAGACGAACATCGTTGCGAGAGCAAGTGATGTCCACGATCACTTCCAATAAGCTATCTTAAAAGCTCTGTGCGTGAGAAAGAATGCAGAGTCTTCACTAAGACCACGATGCTTTCTCCTCCGTGCGTTGTAATACAGAATCTACGATCATCATGTCGGCATGCTCTTGCGCTCACTAATGTGCCTGATCCCCTCAAACTGAAAAAAGAACGACAATGGAAGGTATGAAGGATGTCAGTGTAATGTCAAATCAATGAGGGGCAGAAATAAAAATGGACGTCCTCTTGCTAAATTATGGCTGACCTCTTGTCAAATGGAGGGTGTTCTCTCAGTATTTGCCACCTTTATTTATTTAAGTCAAATGGATAGCCTACAAAACATGTAGGTGTTTTTAGCACAAAGACAGGTACATTCAGAGTGTCCCCATCCACAGGCAGTCGTGGCCAATCATTTTGATCGAGCTTCATAGTTGCTATTGCATGTGCACCACACCACCACACCTGAAGTAATGTCTGCCACATCAACAATGTCCAAGATCTTGCTATGCGGTGCGGTGCAGGGCCAGTGGGAGCTGCTCTTCGAGCGCGTGCGCAAGCTGAACGCAGCGGCCAAGGACCAACCATTCGATGCGCTCGTGTGTGTAAGTCGCTGCTTCCCTCTGCCGTCTGATTACGTGACAGGAGGCGGCAAAAACGTGCCACTGCTTACGTATTTCCTGCCAGCGCATGAGAGCGCACGGTCGTGGCAAGACGATGCCGTCCAGACGAAGCTTTTTGACACGTTGAGTGCAGTCAAAGGGTCTTCGGAGCCTCTGGAGGTCGGTGATGGGTTCTATTGTCTTGCTGGAGCAGGAGTTGCTACTGTAAGTGAAAGAGATTGATCGTTTATCGAGCTTTAGCTTGATGGTGATATCAGGTGGTTATGGATGACTTTTTACAGTGTGTCTTGCTGATCGTAATTGACTGCTTTGGTTGAAATTGCTGTGCAGATTGCAGGATTGAAGGTGGTCTATGTCTCGGGCATAGAGGCTGTTGATCCGGAGCAGGGGAAAGGAACACTGTTGACGTATTCGAAAGCATCGGTACGTACGGAGTTTGCTGGTGGAGGCTCGACATTGTACTGATGGTTATGACTGTATTATTTCCTCACGTTGCTGTAGGTGGACGAGCTGATGCAGCAGCATTTTGCTGATGGAAAGGTCAGGGGTGATGTGGACTTTTTGGTAACAGCAGAGTATCCGACGAGTTTCCAGTTGTTGCTGCCAGAGCAACAACTAGCTCATGGATTACAAGCGATGCGGGGGAAGTGTAGTAGTCAGAGAGATCGTGCGGCATATATATCCAAAGTATCACATTACGAGTCGTGGGGAGATGGCACTCGTGGAGACGTCTTCTACCAGCGACTACCATATGTGAGTGAAGTAGTGGGGACCGGATGCAAGCGAGTTACGCGACTAATTGGTCTCAGTGGTGTCAATACAATCAAAGACAAGACCCGCAAGTATCTACACGCGCTCCAGGTCGTGCCGTTTGCAAAACAGATCACAGAAGAAAGCCAACATGTGGACATTCCTGCTGGCACTACAAAAAATCCCTACCTTCACGCATTGGTGGACGAAGCGATCTCACGAAATCGAGAATCTGATGCAGAAGAGAAGAAAGATCGAACCTGCTGCGACTGGAGGTCTCTCTGCCCAACAGATCGAGCAGCTATCCGCAAAAGTGGGGATGGCACGCAGTTTTTCTACGACCAAAGGCTTGCAGCTAAAGGCCAACGAAAGGGTGGGTTGCTACTTAATCACAAACCGCAGCAGCAAAGAAGCAATAGGTCGGCTGTGCCTGATCGCACTGGAGTGCTGGTTCTGTCTGTCGACGCCAACGTTGGAGCGGCATTTAATTGTGAGCATCGGTCAAAGGAAACTTATCTTGCGATGCCGAAGGGCGCGAAATGTGAAGATCACGTGCTCATCGTCCCCTATTGCGCACAGGCTCCACGTTAGCGCTCAGCACGAGAACACCTGGTGCGAAATCAGGCGTTTCGAAGAGAGCGCTGCGTCGCTACTTTGCTTCGCCCGGGATAAAGAGATGCTGGTGATTGGCCGCAACGTGGCCACACACTGGGCGCCACGCACTGTCACTTGCAAGCTGTAGGCGTACCCAAGGCAAAGGCTGCCGCCGCGCGCAAGGCAAAGGCTGCCGCCGCGCGCAGTATTTTGAAGCTGAAGGCGAGAAATACTGTGTCAAATTCCAGGAATTGATGATGCCTGATGCTGAGAAGAAAGCAGGTAGCAGCGCG